TTTCTAATTTTGGTAAAAACCTAAATTTTATTTTGTCACATTTTATATCCAATAAAATCAAACTTCCACCATGCTAGGAATGGATGAAGGTTCTGAAATAGATAAAAGGCAAGCCTGTCAAGAGAGAAAATATTTGAAGTTGTTAATTTCTGTGAGGAGCAATATACTTGTAGTCACTCTCTCTATTACTATAATGAATCTTTATATAACAGACTGAGAATTTAAGCCCAGTTTATATGGCCCATATTAATATATAAGTTATTACTGTCTATAACAGATTCTCTATAACGAACATTTTTTCCTAATACTAATACCAATACTAAGAGTGTAAGCTGTATAATCCAAGTCCTCTCCATGGAAATTGTTTGATGTCAGATGTGCTCAAAATTGTAAAGAAAGTGGTGAGTAAGTTGAATGAAATAACCAAAGGACATTATACAGGTTTATTGTCCATTGAAATGTGACTATGAAGAACTCACCTTGTTAAGTATTTATAATGATAAAACTTTTAAACAAGAGATATTAAAGCTGAGACACTACATTTCTTGATATGTAAGATAGTAAAAAAAATGACAAAAAAATGTTATTGTAATGCAGATCATTAAATTTTGTGGACATTTTCTATAATAATAATGGACCCTTAAATTTGTTACTTAATCTCAATGTTGTTTATGGAATTTTCAAAATACTAAGGCTTGGCCAGTTTTTAGTTTAAGAAAAAACTAGCTGATAAGTTTTGAAGTTTAACAAGTTTAACATGAACAATAAAACTTATCAGTTAACTTTTTAAAATGATGTAAAAATTTTTTTGTTTCAATATTTTGATGCTGACCAATTGTTACTATAAGCAATTGATTGATTATAGATGATTTGTATTGTATGTCTTGAACTGCAAAAGACCTGTTGGTATGCCAGTTAGAGATATGATGATAAGGAAAGATTTAATCCCAAGGATGCCAAATTGTGCTGGATTCAATACATTACCTTGAAAATCTGATTATACCCATCAAATCTCTTTATTATTACTATTAGTTGCCTTTACATCAGGAAATTATAAAACAGTCTGTTTTCTTCCAATCTAAACTGATATTTTGTTTCAGGAATGATGAGAGATGAAATAAAACTGATATGGTAAGATTATAAAAGGTGTTAATGAATGATTTTTGAATTTCTTCCTGGTGGATTATAATAAATTACTTGGATTTTTAGACTATATTGTTAAAATGCAGCTGATAATGTAATTATTTTGATGATTTATTCAGTAAGTTATATTAATATTTTTTAATCTTGTAAATGGATATTATATACTGTGAGCGTGCAATCTGAGTTTACTAATTAATAGATTATTTAAAGCTCAACACACAGCCTACCTGCTGACTTACAGTCACTAAGTTCTATTTAAATAATTATATCCCAAAGGCATCCCCTTGAGATGTATCTGAATAATTAAAAGGGTTCCCAACTAATAATTAAAGGTTGGCCAGACCATTAACCATTAGAAGGGCTGGGGGGAGGTCAATCACACTGGGTTTATTAGTTACTTACAGTCAAAGACTATTTTATGTAAGGTTATATATTTATTAAGAGTTATTATTATGTTGTTGTTATCAAGGTTGTTATTAACAATATTAAGGGCACTGACATATATCAGCTAATATCATTTTAATAGTAGCACTTACTCCCCCACCCTCAGGTAAGACATTTTGATCATGTTCATGACAATCATTTGCCTTTTTAGGTATCAACAAAGCACAAGCAAAAAAAGAATTAATTTTATTATTAAATCAAGCAACATTGGAGCAATAAATTTTCCTTTATAATATATTATGTTCTCTTGGAATTTCTGGGTATGATTTGCATTGGCTATTTCTTGACAAAACAACTTATTTGGTTCTGAGTGTAATAACTCTTACTTATTTGAAAATTATAAACAATACATCCTGCTAAAGGAAAATCTAAAGAACAAAACTCAAGGATTCTTGATGATTTCTCTCTTCTCAATCACAACAAAAGTGGCCTCTTTTTGACAAAATATATTTAAGGAAATGTATATCAGATAAAGAATGATTAATTATAGCATTTATGTATATGAGAATGTGAGAATTAATTGCCATATCATCCTGTAGACAAAAAGTGTAATGCAATTTTTTGTGCAAATGACAATTGGTTTGCATGTAGATCATTCCCAAATTGAAACACTTGCATTCAAATTATAAAAATGCAGATCTTTCACTGAAGCCATTATGTAGGGTTGTTAAATGGAGCACAATGTTCTGGCATCAACCTGGGTTATGTATCACTCCATCATGGAGTGAGTTAAATTTCTAATTTTTTGTACTAACCTGGAGCAAAATATTTTATTATAACCCAGGTTACTATATAATTTTGCTTCAGGTTGCTCCAAATTATTTTAGTAATTTGATTATTAATCAATTAACATTATTTTGGTGATAAGAATAAGAATAATATTTATTTTAAATGGTAGTACATAAATCTATATTTAATAATAACAGTCGTAGGACATGTCACAAAAATTTATTTCTACTGCAAAAACATAGTAAATTTTGATGATTGGCATCGAATTTTTCATAGTAAAATTTACAATTGAATACTTTCAAACCCCAGTTTAATGCCCTTGTTGTTTAGAAATCATCACCAAATTTGATATATAGTTTCTTTATAGTATACATCTATTTCATGAAAATTTTTGAGGCAGGTTGTTAA